TGGATCTGGATGGAGGAGTAACCAGGTTTTCTAACATGGATCTGGATGGAGGAGGTACTCTAACATGTATCTGAATGGAGGAGTAACCAGGTACTCTAACATGGATATGGATGGAGGAGTAACCAGGTACTCTAACATGTATCTGGATGGAGGAGTAACCAGGTATTCTAACACAGTTCTGGATGGAGGAGTAACCAGGTACTCTAACATGGATCTGGATGGAGGAGTAACCGGAGGTGTAACAAGGTTTTCTAACATGGATCTGGATGGAGGAGTAACCAGGTACTCTAGCATGGATCTGGATGGAGGAGTAACCAGGTACTCTAACATGGACATGGAGGAGGATCTGGATGTAGGAGTAACGAGGTATTCTAACATGTATCTGGATGGAGGAGTAACCAGGTACTCTAACATGGATCTGGATGGAGGAGTAACCAGGTACTCTAACATGGATCTGGATGGAGGAGTAACCGGAGGTGTAACAAGGTTTTCTAACATGGATCTGGATGGAGGAGTAACCAGGTACTCTAACATGGATCTGGATGGAGGAGTAACCAGGTACTCTAACATGGATCTGGATGGAGGAGTAACCAGGTACTCTACCATGGATCTGGACGGAGGAGTAACCAGGTACTCTACCATGGATCTGGATGGAGGAGTAACCAGGTTTTCTAACATGGATCTGGATGGAGGAGTAACCAGGTACTCTAACATGGATCTGGATGGAGGAGTAACCAGGTACTCTAACATGGATCTGGATGGAGGAGTAACCAGGTACTCTAACATGGATGAGGATTGAGGAGTAACCAGGTACTCTAACCTGGATCTGGATGGAGGAGTAACCAGGTACTCTAACATGGATACTGGAGGAGTAACCAGGTACTCATGGATCTGGATGGAGGATGGATGAATTGGAGGAGTAACCAGGTACTCTAACATGGATGTACTCTAACAGGATGGAGGAGTAACCAGGTACTCTAACATGGATCTGGATGGAGGAGTAACCAGGTACTCTAACATGGATCTGGATGTAGGAGTAACCAGGTACTCTAACATGGATGAGGCTGGAGGAGTAACCAGGTACTCTAACATGGATGAGGCTTGAGGAGTAACCAGATACTCTAACATGGATGAGGCTGGAGGAGTAAGCAGGTACTCTAACATGGATCTGGATGTAGGAGTAATCATGTACCCTAACATGGATCTGGATGGAGGAGTAACCAGGTACTCTAACAATGTATAAGAACAGTGAACTCCAGTCAGAAGTAACCAGCTAGTCTAACATGGATCTGGATGGAGGAGTAACCAGGTACTCTAACATGGATCTGGATGGAGGAGTAACCAGGTACTCTGCCATGGATCTGGACGGAGGAGTAAACAGGTACTCTAACATGTATCTTGATGGAGGAGTAACCAGGTACTCTACTATGGATATGGATGGAGAAGTAACCAGGTACTCTAAAAGGGATGATGTTGGAGGAGTAACCAAGTAACATGTATCTGAATGGAGGAGTAACCATGTACTCTAACATGGATCTGGATGGAGGAGTAACCAGGTACTCTAACATGGATGGATGGAGGAGTAACCAGGATACTCTAACATGGATGAGGTTTGAGGAGTAACCAGGTACTCTAACCTGGATCTGGATGGAGGAGTAACCAGATACTCTAACATGGATGAGGCTGGAGGAGTAACCAGGTACTCTAACATGGATCTGGATGGAGGAGTAACCAGGTACTCTAACATGGATGAGTTTGGAGGAGTAACCAGGTACTCTAACATGGATCCGGATAGAGGAGTAACCAGGTACTCTAACCTGGATGGTTGGAGGAGTAAACAGGTACTCTAACATGTATCTGGATGGAGGAGTAACCAGGTATTCTAACATGGATCTGGATGGAGGAGTAACCAGGTACTCTAACATGGATGAGGATGGAGGAGTATGCAGGTACTTTAACATGGATCTGGATGGAGGAGTAACCAACCAGGATGGAGGAGTAACCAGGTACTCTACCATGGATCTGGACGGAGGAGTAACCAGGTACTCTACCATGGATCTGGATGGAGGAGTAACCAGGTACTCTAACATGGATCTGGATGGAGGAGTAACCAGGTACTCTAACATGGATCTGGATGGAGGAGTAACCAGAGGTGTAACAAGGTTTTCTAACATGGATCTGGATGGAGGAGTAACCAGATACTCTAACATGGATCCGGATAGAGGAGTAACCAGGTACTCTAACCTGGATCTGGATGGAGGAGTAACCAGGTACTCTAACATGGATCTGGATGGAGGAGTAACCAGGTACTCTAACATGGATCTGGATGGAGGAGTAACCAGATACTCTAACATGGATCCGGATAGAGGAGTAACCAGGTACTCTAACCTGGATCTGGATGGAGGAGTAACCAGGTACTCTAACATGGATCTGGATGGAGGAGTAACCAGGTACTCAAACATGGATATGTTTGGAGGAGTAACCAGGTACTCTAACATGGATCTGGATGGAGAGTAACCAGGTACTCTAACATGGATCTGGATGGAGGAGTAACCAGGTACTCTAACATGGATCTGGATGGAGGAGTAACCAGATGAGAAACCAGGTTTACTAAAATGGATCTGGATGGAGGAGTAACCAGGTACTCTAACATGGATCTGGATGTAGGAGTAACCAGGTACTCTACCATGGATCTGGATGGAGGAGTAACCAGGTACTCTAACATGTATCTGGATGGAGGAGTAACCAGGTACTCTACCATGGATCTGGAAGGAGGAGTAACCAGGTATTCTAACATAGATCTGGATGGAGGAGTAACCAGGTACTCTAACATGGACCTGGATTGAGGAGTAACCAGTAAACATGGATCTGGATGGAGGAGTAACCAGGTACTCTAACATGGATGGAGGAGTAACCAGGTACTCTAACATGGATGAGGCTTGAGGAGTAACCAGATACTCTAACATGGATGAGGCTGGAGGAGTAACCAGGTACTCTAACATGGATCTGGATGTAGGAGTAACCAGGTACTCTAGCATGGGTATGTTTGGAGGAGAAACCAGGTACTCTAACATGGATGAGGTTTGAGGAGTAACCAGGTACTCTAACCTGGATGGAGGAGGATGGAGGAGTAACCAGGTACTCTAACATGGATCTGGATGGAGGAGTAACCAGGTACTCTAACATGGATGGATGGAGGAGTAACCAGGTACTCTAACATGGATCTGGATGGAGGAGTAACCAGGTACTCTAACATGGATCTGGATGGAGGAGTAACCAGGTACTCTAACATGTATCTGGATGGAGGAGTAACCAGGTAGTCTAACATGGATCTGGATGGAGGAGTAACCAGGACTCTAACATGGAGGAGTAACCAGGTACTCTAACATGGATCTGGATGGAGGAGTAACCAGGTACTCTAACATGGATCTGGATGGAGGAGTAACCAGGTACTCTAACATGGATCTGGATGGAGGAGTAACCAGGTACTCTAACATGGATGGAGGAGTAACCAGGTAACATGGATCTGGATGGAGGAGTAACCAGGTACTCTAACATGGATCTGGATGGAGGAGTAACCAGGTACTCTAACATGGATCTGGATGGAGGAGTAACCAGGTACTCTAACATGGATGGATGGAGGAGTAACCAGGTACTCTAACATGGATCTGGATGGAGGAGTAACCAGGTACTCTAACATGGATGGATGGAGGAGTAACCAGGTACTCTAACATGGATGGATGGAGGAGTAACCAGGTACTCTAACAGGGATCTGGTTGGAGGAGTAACCAGGTAACATGTATCTGGATGGAGGAGTAACAAGGTACTCTAACATGGATCTGGATGGAGGAGTAACCAGGTACTCCATCATGGATGAGGTTGGAGGAGTATCCAGATACTCTAACATGGATCTGGATGGAGGAGTAACCAGGTACTCTACCATGTATCTGGATGGAGGAGTAACCAGGTACTCAAACATGGATCTGGATGGAGGAGTAACCAGGTACTCTAACATGGATCTGGATGTAGGAGTAACCAGGTACTCTACCATAGATCTGGATGGAGGAGTAACCAGGTACTCTAACATGGATCTGGATGGAGGAGTAACCAGATAATCTAACATGGATCTGAATGGAGGAGTAACCAGGTACTCTAACATGGATCAGGATGGAGGAGTAACCAGGTTTTCTAACATGGATCTGGATGGAGGAGTAACCAGGTACTCTGCCATGGATCTGGACGGAGGAGTAAACAGGTACTCTAACATGTATCTTGATGGAGGAGTAACCAGGTGGATCTGGATGGAGGAGTAACCAGGTATTCTAACATGGATCTGGATGGAGGAGTAACCAGGTACTCTAACATGGATCTGGATGTAGGAGTAACCAGGTACTCTAACATGGATCTGGATGGAGGATTAACCAGGTACTCTAACATGGATCTGGATGGAGGAGTAACCAGGTACTCTAACAGGGATGAGGTTGGAGGAGTAACCAGGTAACATGAATCTGGATGGAGGAGTAACCAGGTACTCTAACATGGATCTGGATGGAGGAGTAACCAGGTACTCTAGCATGGATCTGGATGGAGGAGTAACCAGGTACTCAAACATGGGTATGTTTGGAGGAGTAACCAGGTACTCTAACCTGGATCTGGATGGAGGAGTAACCAGGTACTCTAACATGGATGAGGCTTGAGGAGTAACCAGATACTCTAACATGGATGAGGCTGGAGGAGTAACCAGGTACTCAAACATGGATCTGGATGTAGGAGTAATCAGGTACCCTAACATGGATCTGGATGGAGGAGTAACCAGGTACTCAAACATGGATCTGGATGGAGGAGTAACCAGGTTTTCTAACATGGATGAGGTTTGAGGAGTAACCAGGTACTCTAACATGGATGAGGTTTGAGGAGTAACCAGGTACTCTAACATGGATCCGGATAGAGGAGTAACCAGGTACTCTAACCTGGATCTGGATGGAGGAGTAACCAGGTACTCTAAAATGGATGAGATTGGAGGAGTAACCAGGTACTCTAAAATGGATGAGATTGGAGGAGTAACCAAGTAACATGGATAAGGCTGGAAAAGTAACCAGGTACTCAAACATTGATGAGGCTGGAGGAGTAACGAGGTACTCTAACATGGATGAATCAGGAGGAGTAACAAGGTACTCTAACATGGATGAGGCTGGAAGAGTAACCAGGTACTCAAACATTGATGAGGCTGGAGGAGTAACCAGGTACTCTAGCATGGATCTGGATGGAGGAGTAACCAGGTACTCTAACATGGATGAATCAGGAGGAGTAACAAGGTACTCTAACATGGATGAGGCTGGAAGAGTAACCAGGTACTCAAACATTGATGAGGCTGGAGGAGTAACCAGGTACTCTAACATGGACCTGGATTGAGGAGTAAACAGGTACTAAAACATGGATATGGTTAGAGGAGAAACCAGAAACTCTAACATGGATGAGGTTGAAGGAGTAACCAAGTAACATGGATCTGAATGGAGGAGTAACCAGGTACTCTACCATGGATCTGGACGGAGGAGTAACCAGGTACTCTACCATGGATCTGGATGGAGGAGTAACCAGGTACTCTAAAAGGGATGACGTTGGAGGAGTAACCAGGTTTTCTAACATGGATCTGGATGGAGGAGTAACCAGGTACTCTACCATGGATCTGGATGGAGGAGTAACCAGGTACTCTAAAAGGGATGACGTTGGAGGAGTAACCAAGTAACATGTATCTGGATGGAGGAGTAACCAGGTACTCTAACATGGATCTGGATGGAGGAGTAACCAGGTACTCTAACATGGATCTGGATGGAGGAGTAACCAGGTACTCTAACATGGATCTGGATGGAGGAGTAACCAGGTACTCTAAAATGGATGAGGTTGGAGGAGTAACCAGGTACTCTAACATGGATCTGGATGGAGGAGTAACCAGGTTTTCTAACATGGATCTGGATGGAGGAGTAACCAGGTACTCAAACATGGATATGTTTGGAGGAGAAACCAGATACTCTAACCTGGATCTGGATGGAGGAGTAACCAGGTACATCTAACATGGATCATGGATGGAGGAGTAACCAGGTACTCTAACATGGATCTGGATGGAGGAGTAACCAGGTACTCTAACATGGATCTGGATGGAGGAGTAACCAGGTTTTCTAACATGGATCTGGATGGAGGAGTAACCAGGTACTCTACCATGGATCTGGACGGAGGAGTAAACAGGTACTCTAACATGTATCTTGATGGAGGAGTAACCAGGTACTCTACCATGGATCTGGACGGAGGAGTAAACAGGTACTCTAACATGGATCTGGATGGAGGAGTAACCAGGTACTCTAACATGGATCTGGATGGAGGAGTAACCAGGTACTCTAACATGGATCTGGATGGAGGAGTAACCAGGTACTCTAACATGGATCTGGATGGAGGAGTAACCAGGTACTCTAACATGGATCTGGATGGAGGAGTAACCGGAGGTGTAACAAGGTTTTCTAACATGGATCTGGATGGAGGAGTAACCAGGTACTCTAACATGGATCTGGATGGAGGAGTAACCAGGTACTCAAATATGGATCTGGATGGAGGAGTAACCAGGTACTCTAACATGGATCTGGATGTAGGAGTAACCAGGTACTCTAACATGGATGAGGTTGGAGGAGTATCCAGATACTCTAACATGGATCTGAATAGAGGAGTAACCAGGTACTCTAATATGGATGAGGTTGGAGGAGTAAGCAGGTTTTCTAACATGGATCTGGATGGAGGAGTAACCAGGTACTCTAACATGGATGAGGCTGGAGGAGTAACCAGGTACTCTAGCATGGATCTGGATGGAGGAGTAACCAGGTACTCTAACATAGATGAGTTTGGAGGAGTAACCAGGTACTCTAACTTGGATCTGGATGGAGGAGTAACCAGGTTTTCTAACATGGATGAGGTTGGAGGAGTAACCAGGTACTCAAATATGGATGGGGATGGAGGAGTAATTAGGTACTCTAACATCTAACATGGATCTGGATAGAGGAGTAACCAGGTACTCTAACCTGGATCTGGATGGAGGAGTAACCAGGTACTCAAACATGGATGAGGCTTGAGGAGTAAGTAGGTACTCTAACATGGATCTGGATCTGAATGGAGGAGTAACCAGGTACTCTAATATGGATGAGGTTGGAGGAGTAAGCAGGTACTCTAACAAGGATCTGGTTGGAGGAGTAACCAGGTACTCTAACATGGATGTCGTTGGAGGCATAACCAGGCACTTTAACATGGATCTGGATGGAGGAGTAACCAGGTACTCTAACATGGATGAGGATGGAGGAGTAACCAGGTACTCTAACATGGATCTGAATGGAGGAGTAACCAGGTACTCTAACATGGATATGGATGGAGGAGTAACCAGGTACTCTAACATGTATCTGGATGGAGGAGTAACCAGGTATTCTAACATGGATCAGGTTGAAGGAGTAACCAAGTAACAAGGATCTGGTTGGAGGAGTAACCTGTTACTCTAACATGGGTGAGGTTGGAGGAGTATGCAGGTACTTTAACATGGATCTGGATGGAGGAGTAAGCAGGTACTGAAATATGGATGAGGTTGGAGGAGTAACCAGGTATTCTAACATGGATGAGGTTGGAGGAGTAACCAGGTACTCTAACATGGATGAGGTTGGATGATTAACCAGGTACTCTAACATGGATGTGGATGGAGGAGTAACCAGGTACTCTAACATTGATGAGGTTGGAGGAGTAACCAGGTACTCTAATATGGATGAGGTTGGAGGAGTAAGCAGGTACTCTAACAAGGATCTGGTTGGAGGAGTAACCTGTTACTCTAACATGGGTGAGGTTGGAGGAGTATGCAGGTACTTTAACATGGATCTGGATGGAGGAGTAAGCAGGTACTGAAATATGGAGGAGTATCCAGATACTCTAACATGGATCTGAATAGAGGAGTAACCAGGTACTCTACCATGGATCTGGATGGAGGAGTAACCAGGTTTTCTAACATGGATCTGGATGGAGGAGTAACCAGGTACTCTAACATGGATGAGGATGGAGGAGTAACCAGGTACTCTAACATGGATGAGGATGGAGGAGTAACCAGGTACTCTAACATGGATGAGGATGGAGGAGTAACCAGGTACTCTAACATGGATGAGGTTGAAGGAGTAACCAGGTACTCTAACATGGATCTGGATAAAGGAGTAACCAGGTACTCTAACAGGATGAGGCTGGAGGAGTAACCAGATACTCTAACATGGATGAGGATGGAGGAGTAACAAGGTACTCTAACATGGATGAGGCTGGAAGAGTAACCAGGTACTCTAACATGGATCTGGATGGAGGAGTAACCAGGTACTCTAACATGGATGGAGGATGGAGGAGTAACCAGGTACTCTAACATGGATCTGGATGGAGGAGTAACCAGGTTTTCTAACATGGATCTGGATGGAGGAGTAACCAGGTACTCTACCATGGATCTGGACAGAGGAGTAAACAGGTACTCTAACATGGATCTGAATAGAGGAGTAACCAGGTACTCCTCTGGAAGATGGACGAGGTTGGAGGAGTAACCAGGTACTCTAACATGGATGAGGTTGGAGGAGTAACCAGATACTCTAACATGGATGAGGATGGAGGAGTAAGCAGGTACTCTATCATGGATGAGGCTGGAGGAGTAACAAGGTACTCTAACATGGATGAGGCTGGAAGAGTAACCAGGTACTCTAACATGGATGAGGCTGGAGGAGTAACCGGATACTCTAACATGAATGAGGCTGGAGGAGTAACCAGGTACTTTAACATTGATCTGGATGTAGGAGTAACCAGGTACTCTAACATGGATCTGGATGGAGAAGTAACCAGATACTCTAACATGGATCTGGATGGAGGAGTAAGCAGGTACTCTAACATGGATATGGTTGGAGGAGAAACCAGATACTCTAACATGGATGAGGTTTGAGGAGTAACCAGGTACTCTAACATGGATCCGGATAAAGGAGTAACCAGGTACTCTAACATGGATGAGGTTGAAGGAGTAACCAGGTACTCTAACATGGATCTGGATGGAGGAGTAACCAGGTACTCTAACATGGATGAGGTTGAAGGAGTAACCAGGTACTCTAACATGGATCCAGATAGAGGAGTAACCAGGTACTCTAACATGGATGAGGTTGAAGGAGTAACCAGGTACTCTAACATGGATCTGAATGGAGGAGTAACCAGGTACTCTAACATGGATATGAATGGAGGAGTAACCAGGTACTCAAATATGGATGAGGTTGGAGGAGTAACCAGGTATTCTAACATGGATATGGTTGGAGGAGTAACCAGGTAATCTAACATGTATGTAGTTGGAGGAGTATCCAGGTATCCTAACATGGATCCGGATAGAGCAGTAACCAGGTACTCTAACATGGATCTGGATGGAAGAGTAACCAGGTACTCTAAAATGGATGAGGTTGGATGAGTAACCAGGTACTCTAACATGGATGTGGATGGAGGAGTAACCAGATACTCTAACATGGATGTCGTTGGAGGCATAACCAGGCACTTTAACATGGATCTGGATGGAGGAGTTACCAGGTACTCTAGCATGGATCTGGATGTAGGAGTAACCAGGTACTCTAACATGGATGAGGTTGGATGAGTAACCAGGTACTCTAACATGGATGTGGATGGAGGAGTAACCAGGTACTCTAACATGGATGAGGTTGAATGAGTTTGAAAATGTACTCCAGGGTACATAATTACGTATGTGTCAAATAAAGAAACATTCTTCTGGATACAATTATCAGTGAGATGTTTTCTGACCATACACTGAGAAATATCAACCATAATAAGAGTTTAAAGAAAGAGATCTGCCTTAGGAACATTTTCCTTTTACCTTTTACACTGAGAATAAGAAAAGTTTCCTGGGCCTGCTGTGTTCTTTTTTGCCCCAGTTATTTTTGCCTGTATAATTATACACGAATATATATGAATTTATTATAGTTACGGAACACAATGGATGTGGGGTCATGTGTACTCTTAGGGGTCAAGGTCATTTAGACAGGTGTGCTGTGACGTACTGTTTCATGTCGCACGTGAGACAGGTGAAACACGAGTCATTGGGATAACAAAGGCGGGTATAGTGTAGTATGGTCATTCGAGTCTTGACGGTCCAACAACGAATACGTATACTTTATTTCTTCTATAACATGAGTGATAGCGACAATCCAAGTATTGTAGTTAA